GCTGCTCAAAAAAAAAAAAAAAAAAAAAAAAGAAGAACAGGAGCTCTGGTTCACGACGAGGAACCCAGAGTCGGGTTCCTCCCGAGGAACTCAGATCGGGATCCTCCGGAGGAACCCAGCTCGGGTTCCCCATCCAGATCTTCGGAGGAACCCTCTGAAGGAACCCCGGAGGAACCCGATCTGGGTTCCTCACGACGAGGAACCCAGAGTCGGGTTCCTCCCGAGGAACTCAGATCGGGATCCTCCGGAGGAACCCAGCTCGGGTTCCCCATCCAGATCGGGCTCGGGTTCCTCACGACGAGGAACCCAGATCCTCACAAGGAACCCAGAGATCCTTTTTTTATTTTTTTTTGGTTGGGGAATTTTCATATTAAAAATTATGCCATGTCAAGCTACATCATCAAGAAAAGGCATCCACATTGGATTATTAACGGCACAAAGTGGCTACGTCAATTTTTTGGTGCACGTAGTGTATTTTGTAACGGTACCGTAACGACACGTTAAAATATTGAATTTTTTACGAGTTTTGAAAAATTGAAAGTGTGAATAAGGAAAAAAAATTCTGAAAAGTATTGACCGTGAAAAAAAAATAAATGGAGGGTGCAAATAGGAGCTTTTGCCTACTCTTTTTAGGCCCATGTTAGACAAATTTAATTTTAAAAATCCCATGCTTTATGCTGTACAAAAAAAGAAAAAACCCAGGCTTTATATGCCATAGCCAAAAAGAAATTAATGAAACACACCACTACTTTAAAAGTTAGGAAACCGTTGAGAAAGTAGCTTGAACGCATTTATTTCTGTAGCATTCACGCCGTTCATATAATACTTCGTCGTTTGGTCAACAGTCCTTGTGTCGTTACCCAGAGGCATTTTTTCTTAATTCCCCAACGGCAGTCCCAATCCTTTTCCGTCTTCCCTGCAAGAAGTTCTACTTGAGTACAATGGTAAACGATGCTGCTCTGAGGTCATCAATGGTGTGCTTAGCGGCAACCATAGTGGCAGTCGGGTTGTGGACGCTCTCACTGAAGAAGATGATGGTTACGTACGTTGTTTTCATGCTTGGGATCGCCGGTGTGCTTCTGCCTGACTGGGAATACTTCGATCGAGATTTCTTCCGGTGGTGCTACCCGGTTACCTCCGAAGAAAGAGACAAACTTACTGCTCTTGCTCAAAGATCTCTGCTAAGAAGGTTTTGATTTTCTTCCCCTGCTTTTTCCTAAATTTAGTTAATGTTCTTAGCTTGTACTTTCAAGGAGTATGATTTTTTTAATTTTTGTTGCCAACAAAAAGGATTTATTTATTTTTATTTTTTTGCTGTCAAGGATTTAAACCCTTAATTTTATTCGTTTTAACATTGTCTCGATCAAATTCTTATAAGTATCCATTTAGTAGCATGAGATTTGATTCAAATTCCAATAAATCTCGTTCTCATCCCTTTTGTAATAAACACAAATTGCCTAGAAAGAAAGAAAAATACTGAGAAAATTAAGATTTTTCAGGTATAGGATCTACCCGTTGAGAATTGTTGTTTACGGGACAATTTATGGCTATGGTCTGTACAAGTGGTGGAAATTTGTATCAAGCTAATTGCTGGAATTCTGCAACAGTGTGTTTTACGATTGGTTTGAGATTGTTGTAATGTATTGAATCGGTGCCGTGTTTATGATTATGAAAAAAATTTTGTTAGTAGTGTTTTGATAAATTATCTTTCGACGAGTATTATAAAGTGTTGTGACCAATTTTGATATTCGATGTATTTCATGTTTGCATTACTTTTGTTCTAATAAGTTGGGGAAACAAGAGGATGCCCAATAATATATCTTGATGTTTCTTCAAATTTTCAACTCATTAGTAAAAAATTAAAAGTAGAAATATGAAATAGTCAATCTTCATTTGCTATTATCTTTATTGTAATTTACCATTTTATGTTTCATTCCATCGGTTTTGACAAACCTCAAAACTCGGTAAATCTGACTCTAAGGAATAGGGATGACAATTTACCTCGATTCTTATAAAGTCTTGCAGGGATCCTCGTCATGATGACAGGATAGGGAGAAATATTTCTCCCCGTGAGGAGGGGATAGAGGATATTTTTCTCTCGTGAAATTTTAGGGGAAATTTTCCCACCTCTCGGGCTTCGTTGGGATCCCTATCTCCTTAAAAATTACAAAAACATGTAAATGAATTTTATTTTAAATTTAATTCAATCTTCAAACCCTAATCCAATCTAATAAAAATTAAATTTAACTCAATTTTACCCAACACATCATCAAGAAGTTTGTTAATTTAGTTATTTATGTTGAATTGATCTTTATTTATTTGGATAATTTATATTATTATTTGAACAAGGATGGAGGGCAAAACCTACCCCCCTCAAAAATACCAATGGGCACGAGGATGGGGAGGGACTCTCTCGCCCCGCAGGGCCGTTGACATCTCTACCAAGGAGGGGTAGGAGAAAACTGCAATTGAAACGTTTGGAATTCAATTGTCATGAAAATAATATTGAGGATATAGCTGCTAATCGCCTAAAAAGCTTCGGGGGCACAAAATAATTTGTTCTTTTTCCATTTTCATTGTGGAGGGTATTTGGGCTAGGCCTAATTTATGGGCTCAAAGGCCGAGAAAACTAGGACATAAACACCAACAAAAACCTGGACTGGTTAGGGTTTTATGCTGGAGAACAATTAATAAACCAAATGACTAAATAGCCCCCAGATTTTTCCATCGAAAAAGGGGCATCTTGGTCCTTTCAACAAAGCCTAGAATATGCTGCGACATTTGCCCCCCTCAGTTAAACAAGAAAAGAATCAACCGCTTCTCAATTTAAAAGAACGGAGAAGCCGATCGGAAGAGATCGGAGAGACGAAGCAGGGAGATGAGGCTGCTAACGCACAACATGCTATCGTCGAACATCAAGGGGGTGACCAACGGCTTCCCTCTCCGTATCGAGGCGGAGAAAGTGGTGGAGAAGCAGGTCGAGATCAATCACGATTTCTTGAGGAACATTTTCCCCAAGATCGAGTGGAAAGCATTCGTCGACGCCTCGCGGATACTGGGCTACGCCGAGCTCCCTGAGGAAGCCCCAGAGCCGTCCGTCCTTGAATCCGACCATGAGTTTCTGGGAAAGTTTCATCATGCGCTCTTGGAGCTCCATATCGAGGAGGGAGCTCTGGTCTGCCCTGAGACCGGGAGGAAGTTTCCCATAAATAAGGGGATTCCCAATATGCTTCTTCACGAGGATGAGGTTTGAAGAACTGTGGCAGATTGTATGTTGGTCTGCGTTATGGGTTTTAACTAGGGTTTTTGCTTTCTTTGTTTTGCCTTTTCTTTTCTTATGGGCACCAATCACCAGATGGATTGCTCTATAATTTGTTACAAACACAATAAGGTTGAATCTATTATGGTGTTTGTTAGTTGAATTCATTTGAATCCCATGTATGAAGGTAATACATCTGAAACTCACTATCCAAAAGGAAAAAAAAAAAATGAAAACAGACTCTGAGCCTGCAATTGAGTTGAATTAAAGCATGAGCATTGACGTATGGAAAACCAAAGCTTGAGTCTACCTACAAACATTAGTCCTATTAGCAACATCCCACTTTTGCTTTCTGTTGCAGCAAAGATCACTCAATAGAATAATGTATTAAGCCAGCCTACAACCAACGTGGGGCTCCCATAACTGTTGGTACATACTAATACACTGATCATTATTAATAAGAATGCAGCAAATTTGAATCCAATCTCATGCCTCTAGTCATTGCTGTCCACAATCTTCATGCCTCTAGTAGCTGCTGTTTTTGTAGCAAACCAGAATCCTCTCCGCCATCTTCATGCCTCAGGTAACTGCTGTTTTTGCAGCGAGGGGTTTCACATGGGGGAGGAGGCACACCAAATACCCAATCAAGAACATTTAAGTACTTGGATCGAAACACATCCCTCTCTTGAGCATAGCAGTGCATTATAATAGCTGTGGATATGCTGAAAACCACTACATCTGCCCTCTTCAGATTCTTTGACCGTGGCAAGTACCCTGCATCAGCCATACAGGTGAAGAAGCTTTCAATGCCCCGTGCAAGGCAATAGAGTGATATCTCAATCCGCCTGCTCTTCTTCTCAATAGCCAAGGCCAGACCAGCAGGAAACTGCCCAACATATTCTAGTTTAGAAAAAAGAAAAACAGAAATTTAGTTCACACCTTACTCATAAGATGTAAAGAGTCCTTTACCGTTCCCAGTGCTAACAATGGTACATTACACTTTTTGAAAAGCCTAAACAGCAGGCACGTCCACATCCTTATTCACAAAACAGATGAGGTCATTTAATTACCAGAGGTTGTTCTCAATAAAAGTAGAACATTAAAATGATAAGAACAGTAAGTGAACCAGATCAACCCGATCCCAATTCAGTTTTTAAATTCATGCTGTTCAGGAGAACCAGCTTCAAAAAACACTTTTCTTAGCAAAATTTAGCAGTTAGTACCCATAGTAATGAAATTCTTAATATCTTACAAAACATTTTACTGGCAGTTAGCAAAATTTAAAATATGATGACCTCACTGGAAATCAGATGTTTGTGATATAGCATTACTTCACTTCAGAAGACACATTTCAACTACGAAAGTGGACCTCCAGAACATAATGTTATGTGTCCTCCTTAGAAAATTTTCTTTTTAACGTATTAGTTTAGAACCACATCTTATCATATAATAAGTGATTAAATATGGATTAGTCTTCAGCTGTTATTTTTCTGCAACCACAAACTATATCAATTGTCTCAGGTTATAACTTGACACAAGTTAAGTTGTATCTTCAGGTTCAACTACATTCTGGAGTCATACACAGTTTTCCAAATATATATTCTTTTCTTCCATTTTTCCTTTCATGTCTTTATGGGAAATTTTGATAAAACAGTCGTCAATAAAATCAAACTACAATTTTCATGTCCTGACAATCAAAATGACTTCAAGAATAGAAACATCATAAAATTTTGAAATCCTTGAATGGGAAAAGACAGATAATTGTGCGTTATAAGGTACAAAAAAGTGAATGAAAAGAAATTGTAGCTGTTATAAATAATTTAAACCTCACTGCAATAGCAATAGCAATGGCTGGCTTTCCAAATAAAAAGAACAAGGTGGGTGTTTGATGAAATGTGAAAAAAGCAACTAAGCTTGAATTTTAGATCATTGGAAGTTTGAAAACAATAGCCAAATTGTAGTTTCGGTTAGCTCTTCCGTTATGAAATTGCTATTGCATGCAAGTATCAAGAAGAAAAAAAATTTACAATACAAAAAGGATTTAATGTCAAGTTGAAACAGATGATGCTGGCCAAAACAAAAGTTGAAACATATGAAGAACTACTTTTTAAGGAGAAAAAAAGGATCAATGTTCACAAAGATGCATGGTATGGTAGAAAGAATTAAATGCTAACCAGGCTGAACCACAATAGGCAGAAAGAAATAAGCTTGATCTGGCAGTACCAAGAAGACCTTTTCCTAATATACTGTAAGGCCTGCACAAGGTCAAATAGAGCAGAATATGAATAATGATTACATGGAGCATCCTAGCATGATAGTATCAATTATCTCAATCATAGCTCAAAGCTTTAAAATGAAAAGAGGACAGGAACCATCATTTGTGGCTGGTCAAAAGATTAATGTCAGTTGAGTAAATATTGGAAGGGCAGAACATTCCAGCTTATGTGCACATTAAATGCAGAAGGGCACATATCTACTTTCTACTCTACTATTATTGGAGGGGCTGAGCAGGGCAACTTAATCTAATATAAATTACTAATCACATGCAATCCTTTCTATAATAAAAAGAAATAACATCTACACCCAGATTGCTGGATGAAGTTTTCATCCAAAATTTCAACCAAAGAAGGTATGTTACAGCAATTCTTCATCAAGTGATGGAATGGTATTTGACAAAGTTTAGGTCCTTTAGGAAAGAAAGAAGCTCATGTATATTACCTTTTTAAAAGGCCTTGACGATGAACTATTAGTGCTGGAACCAAATACACTGGAAGATATACTGGTAATGCTCTCTTATATCCCTCAATAAGAAAAGAAAGAAAATGTGTACCACATGACTGATTTGCATGGACCATCTGCAATGTTTTGGAACATAAGCCAAATTCCAATGTAACAGGATATCTTGAAAGCAAGTTGAGCTGGTAACATTCCAAAGTCTACATCAAATACCTTTCACATTTATCATTACTATAAACTTATTGTTAATAGTTCATGCAAGCACATCAGATGTATTTCCACTAGCAAGAATATTGTCAAATGCCACTGCTTAATAACTTAATAAAACTGAAAATATTTATAACAAATACCAAAGGGGCACATTTCCAACAACCCATTTTTTAGCCTAGAAAGTATTTTGAGTATAAAACATAATTCTGGGCTGGAAATCAAATTCATACTGAAGGCTTGCAAGAGGACCTTGAACAGTGATCAAGCAATCTGCATGATAGAAAAGAAATGTGCAACACTGCAATATAAAATATAATCGCATAACACTGCACTATGTATTCTTACTACCTGGCAATACACATACAAAGAAAAAACTATCATCATACCGTGCAGGGAATTTTCATCTTTGGATCTAGTTTAATGTCTACTCCTGTTGTCTTGTAGTATTTCTCTATTGCTTCCAAATTAGTGAATGGAATGCCAGTTGCAAGTTCTTTTACACCTTGCAGGATGGCAGCATCTTTTCCACACTGTTTATTGAGAAAGGACTTATATGAAGGGGGCAAGCTCTCTTCCTTCAATATGAAGGCAGACCTGAAAAAAAAAAACACCTATTTAACAAAAGACACAGTGAAAAACTAAACGCCTAGTGATAAACTAGATATCAGTCTAGATGTTCCAGACAGTGGTGTTGTGGATGCCATTTCATTCATGCTTTGGTAAATTTTTAAGGTTGATGCCCCAAATATTCCAAATCCTAACCAGGTGTCTGTTCAAACTCTAAGTTTACATTTCTTTTTCATTCTCCTCTCTGCAAGCAGTTGACTGTAGGTTGCCGGTGTTAACAGGATGAATTCTAGTAAGACCACCAATCGAGCCCGTGGTCCAGGTGATTCAGTTCTCATAAGTTTCAAATGTAATCTGGTAGACATTAAGCATACTTCCAGGATGTAAATCTGTTTCAAGATAATAATAATAATAATTATTATGATTATCTCATGCATCCTCCACCCAGGTCCCAACTACTAATTTACTGAATTGCCACAGTGCAATAGAAAATGACCAAATGACAACAATATAAATTAGAAAAAGCAAAAGCAGAAACTGTGAAGATCTAACAAAGGAACTTACAAAATTTGTGAAGAGGAGAGACACATCAGGAATATGTCACCGTGCTTCCAAGTAAGAGGTTTACAAATCTTCCCAAACCTCTTGCTTTTTATCCCACACCGTGAAGCCAACACAGCAGCACGCATGAGTATATATATAGCTAAACTAGTATGCTGTGTATTTGGCCCAGTGAGAAGCATGGAAGGCCCCGCAACCAATCCTGCTACTAACGCCCTCCATTTTGCAGTCCTAATTTAACATAAACAGCAAAAAATTCAAGCTGAGTTCAATATGATTCCTTCAAATTGATTCAACATTCAAATTGTTGAAGAAGAAGAAGAAGAAAAAAAAAAAAAAGAATTGGAGCATGCCTACGATGTCCTCCCAAAGCACCAATAATCTCATCCAATGAACAAAATGTACCAGCAAATGTTCCAAGAAAGAGACCATATCTAAGCGTCTCCTTAATCGCCAGAGAAATTGCTTCGCTATTAGAAAACATCTCAACTTTCCTAAACAAAGAGTAAATTCTTCCAATCAGATAATTAAGCTTGAAAACGGAAACGAATTTCCAATCTGATCAAAATCCAACATGTTACAATTACCTAGTGGCCGCCGATGATCTTCTTCGACGCAAGCGCACAAGAATCGAAAACAAAGCTAAGCCACCTTTGAGGCCAGCTCCAATGGAGAAACCTTTGGCCGAAGCAACGACGATTCTCCGCAGCTTCTCCGAGTCCGTCAAAGGAATAGAATCAAAACCAAAAGAAGGCTCGGTCATGGCGCGGTGCACACAAGTTGCTTCTTCAGATCTGGGAAAACCGCCATTTTGGACAGTGGAGTGTGAGCATCCGTCGGCGCCGGTGGCGGTACCACCGTCCGACGACAGCATAGTGGTGCCGAGCTAGGGTTTTGCGGTGTAGAGGACAAAAAATTCAGGACTCAGAGATCATGCACTGGCAGGTAATATTGGTGGGAATGGAATTTTAAAACGAGAAGAAACGATTATTAACATTTGTTAAGTTGTGCGTTGTTAATCTTCCAGAATAATATTTCCTCCCGTGTTCATCAGAGCCCGTTGATTGACTGCCATGTGTCATAGAACTGTTTCTGGTAATATGGTAATTGAACAATTTGCCTGAAACAACACTGCCGTTCCGCACAGCAGTTGCCCGACAGAATGGCAAGATTTAGGGCAAAAGCCTACTCTTAGCCCTTCATCTTATCAAGTTTGAAGGTTTTAACCCCTTATCTTATACTATGACACTTTTAACCCCTTACCTTACTAGATTTATAGGTTTTAGTCTATTACCTTATATTATGACACTTTTAGATTTATAAATTTTAACTTATCACCTTATAATACGACATTTTTAACCTCTCGCCTATTAAAATTGAAGAAAATAACCTTAACTTTGTAATATTTTGTTAGTTTTATTAGTTGATTGTTAATTAGCAAAAACTTTCTTTTAACTAATAGTATTAACAGAACTAATTTTATAATATTTTATTTATTTTGTTAATTAACTATTAATTAACTGTTAATTAACAAAAACTTACTTTTAACTAACAAAGTTAACAGTCAATATAAAATAAGGATTATTTTCTTCAATTTTAATAGAAAATGAGCTAAAACTTATAAATATAAGAAAGTAAAAGGTTAAAAATGTTATAGTATAAGGTAAGGAACTAAAATTTTTAAACTTAATAAGATGAGGGACTAAAA